TTGGATCGCGGCCGGGTTGCCTTGGGGCGTTTTTCCAAAGCTCCGAGTCTACGAGGCGCTCGTCCAGACGGGCGTAGGCGAATGCCCCGAAGGGGAATGTGGACAAGAAGCCCGCTTGTTGGTCCTTCCACAGGGCGTACGTCTTTGCAAAGTTGTCGCCGTGGTAGACGTGGTGGTCGTTGGTCAGACCGGCTTTTTCAGTTTCGTAGAACATGAAGACAATCTTGAGACAGGCTAGGTTAGCGGTATCGCTCGGTATACAGGCTATGAGGCACTTACAAGGTGGTCCATGAGATTCTTGCCGACACCGGGCAAGTCAACCAGCGTTGGAATACCAAAACTGTCGAGCTCGGTCTTGGCCCCGATACCAGATCGGTTGAGAATGTTGGGGCTGCAGTACGCGCCGCCACTGACGATGACTTCCTTACGAGCCTTGATGTTGACGACGGAGCCGTCGGCCTTGAGAACCTTGACACCTGTCGCCCTGAGCTCACCATCCACCTTCTCTATGATCACCTTTTCAACATGGGTCTCAACGAGAAGGTGAAGGTTATCCTTCTTATTTTCCTTCGTGACGAAGTCTGCGGCAGTGGTTCGCAGGCCCTTGTGAACCGTTCTGGGCGCGTGTCCACAGCCATGAGGGTTCTCTCCGTGAGAGAACATGTCGTGGTCTAGCGGCAGTCCTTTGGATACCATGGAGTCCATGATGAGGTTTGAAATAGGAGCGAGGTCATGTGGTTCGATGTTGAGGTGGCCGTTAGTGCCATGGTCTTTGGAGGCTTCGAACCAAGGCTTTCCGTGAAAATTCTCTGCCTACATTTCATAAGAGATTAGCGACTTGCAAAGATCCAGTGAAGTGGAAACTAAAACATGGAACAGTGAGGCGAAAAGAATATAGCTTCCAGGACATGGAACCATTCCTGACCTTTCGAATGTATTTGAAAACTTCGTCACCCGTCCAGCCCTCAACTTCCCAGTCATCATAGTCCTGCTTGGCACCGCGAATGCATAGAGTACCGTTGCAGCCAGAGCAGCCGCCAAGGAACTTTCCACGGCTTAGTTTGACCTGTCGATTGTTGACTGAAGGTTTCTTCTCGCTGATAACGTTCCAATCGGTATCCTTGTCGAACAATTGCGACCATCTATGGTCAAGGTTAGACTATTAACTTGCAATCAACCTTACCAGTAGATATAACTTCTTACCCTCCTGTCATGTGAACATTTTCAAGATTTTCATTGTGTTCACCAGCCTCAATGACTAGAACATTCACGCCAGGAACCTCAGCAAGGCGGCTCGCAACGACGCAGCCGGAGGTACCACCGCTTGAAGACTTGATGTCAGCTTCCAGTTTAGGTATAGAAAAATATAGTTCATGTCGGTAAACTCACCCGCATACGATGAAGTCGTAAATATTCTCTTGCGGTAAAGATCCCATGTTGATGATAGCTGCACTGTAAGTCTGAGCTCGTAGGGAACAGCGTCTGGTGGTATGAGAGAAATGGAAGGCAAGTCACAGGATGGCCCATGGAGCTCGGACTGGTGCTCTTGTATTCGGACACTGACTAGCAATTCCGACAACAATTCCGGGGTTTCTTCCTCGACCACCACACCCCCCACAAACGCCTCAAGCTACGTCTGAAGTCTACGTGCGGGGAATGCACCCAACATCAGTAGTACAGCTTATGGAAGTCAGCGCCGCTGCCAAGTGCCACTCGAAAGCCGAAGGAGGAAAAGCGACCGTCCAAAAAGGAGGCAATCCATAGCGGTATGCAGGGTCCGGTATTGGAATCCATGTATTTACACCACTTGAAGTTTCCAAAGGCCCATGTTGAGCCTGCTGGTGGCGGAGTTGTATCCGCAGCTCAATATTTCATAACAGTGGATGAATTTGTGCGGATATCCATGAGCACATGCATACGCATACGATCTTAATTGATCCCTTGTCAGTCTTGGGTCTTTTTGGTCGCAAAAATACCGTTTCGAGGAGGGAATCCTACTGGGGACTCTGGACTTGTGCCAGCTACACGGCACTACCGTGGTACGTTGGGCACCGACGAGTACCGAATGAAGATCACTCTCTTACGTACGACCAATTAGAACCTGGCAGAGCAGATGTAGGCTTGAGGTTGGACTGGTTGGACAATTGGAAACAGCATCCTCAAGGTCTTGGGTTCCATGGGAGCCCTGATACTGGGGCCTGATTTGGACCGTTGGAGAGAATTTGGACCCTGCAAACCCGACGATCTTGCTCGGCGTTGGTACAGCGGTTCATCACGTCCAAATGTCTCCACCCCAGCGACACAGTAAGGGTGCGGCACAGTAGCTGGGCGTGTCGCCATCAAAGTTGCATCCGAGTCTTCAGCGGCGCAGCCGGGGCGCAGCCGGTGCACTTTGGTCAGGGATCAGCGTGAATGAGCCGACTTTTGATCATCAGGAGGAACGTTTGTCCTTGAAGAGCTCGAACTGTTGGAAAAGAAATGCTGCATCCCCAAATCCGATTCTGTTGTAATCGGAACTGGGTGATCAGACGGAAAGTTACTGGCTGAGGCTTTTGAGTTCTGGGGAGCATAACAAGCGTTGGCTTTAGTTGGAGCTTAGGTTCCCCCGCCAAATCCTGGGGCCCCCGTGGGAAAATCACGGTGGGACAGACCTGAGAACGTCGGGAGATGGGGCCGGACGGGAGAGGCGCTACTCAGGTTTCCATTCCTGACGGCATGCTCCATTTGGCCGAGAACCGTGTGGATCAAATCACGAAATGCCAATGCTCATCGGCCCGGTTGATAGGGATACATGGGGAATTGACGCCGAGAATAGGCCCAACAACGATATCAAAGAGAGTGGCCTACCAGACATTCAGAAGCTATCTGATGTCCCAGTATTAAATAGTCGTATCGTCCCATTTTGTCAACTCTCTGCGACGTTAATGCGCGTCTCTAAGACATTGAGGCTACTAGACACTTAGTGTGAGGGGGATATCCATGGCGCACATGCAAGGTTGATCAGCTTGCAAGCCTACCCCTCTTTCTTGGGGGCTTGCTTGGCAGCGTTCACCTCGTAAGATGGTTTGTTTCCGCTGATCCAGAGGAATTAATGTTCCATGTAATTCCGGTTCGACCTTGCAGTTCCGAGTACCACACTGTCATGGGACTTATGCATGGGCAGGTGGACAAGATCAAGTGTCATTGGACCGAAACGGGTGCCAATACTCGAGTAGCCAGACCGGATAGGAGAAAAAGGGGAGATGTTCAGTGAATGTTTTTCTCTTTCGGGCTATTTCACAGCTGCAAGCCCCAGACGGCTTCGGACTTGACGCCGAATGAGACTTGAGCCTCACAGGAAGTGAGGGATAGGCATCAGGGTTGGTCAGAAGCTAGGATATCAACGCGGCTCCTGTGAGTAAGTACCATGGCTGATACTGTCGCTAGCAGACCGATCACATAATTATCTCGCGCATCCTCGGCACAAGAAGGCTTGGAAACCAAAATCAACGGTTGCCAAGAAACAGGCTTGTACCTTGGGATCCTCAAGGCACTCTGTTATGCTGCTCTAGAACCTAGCGTACCACTTCTGCTGGGGTTTGTTGACCGGGGCCTGTTGGAGAATCGCGAGCACCTTCAAATTGCCGATCCCTATCATCGCGTTGAGCTGCTTAGGTTGTGACAAGGAGGCCGTTTGAACTTTCATCGGGACTAGACAGGGACCAAAATCCTCAATCCGACGTTACGAGAAAAATCTGTGCTCTTTCGTGTTGCATATTCCCATCATCCCTGAGGCAAGGGTAAGAGAATTCAAGCCTCGCCCAGACATAGGGGCTATAGGATACGTAACTAGAGACACGAGGCTAAGCCAGGAGATGCGGTTTTTAATCCGAGAATTCCCGTGAGCCAGCATTGGTCTTGAACAGGTCCGGCAGAATGCAGATTGAGCAGGTCCCATCCGTGATTCGAGTCGACTTAATCAAACGTCTCTTTACTTGCTCGTCCTGACCTGCCCTTCTTTCAGTCACTGTACAGAAAAATGGCGACCCCTTTTCAAACTGAAGCCTGGACTGAGTATGGGCTCGGTGTCTTGGTTATTCTCCTTCGCATCTTTGCTCGATGGAAAATTGTGGGCTTCAATTGGCAAGGTGACGATTATTTTGCCATATTATGCTTGATTTTCTGGACTGTAAGTTCGCCGCATACACCTGGCCCTGCCATTGACAGTCCAAACTCCAGACTGGAGCCTGTATTCCGTGGCTGACTTTCAGATTCAAGTTGGAGCTTTGTATGCTGGAGCTTATAGGTTAGCATCCCTCAATGCTTCTGAAGTCAGCATCGACGTATTTTCCATGCTGACACTCAACACCCTGACAGGCCAGAATGGAACCAACATCGGGATCACGAACGATATCGGCGCGACGTTAACGTCGGAGGAAATAGCAAAGTTTGAGTTTGGTTCCAAGTGCCTGCTGGCAGGCTGGAACTTTTATGTCACTCTCATTTGGTGTCTCAAAGCTTGCATTTTGTTCTTCTTCAGCCGCATCACGTTCGTATTAACCCCATGTCCTCGGAAAGCGGGGTTGATCTTATCTCTGACAACATGATATAGGCTTGCTACAAGGCAGCAGAAGATTGTCAAATGGACAGCCGCAGCGACAGGCTTAGCATATGTTGGTGTCATAGCTGTCATTTGGGGCCACTGCGCACCAGTTCAAAGGAACTGGCAGGTGGTACCTTATCCAGGAGGTACGATATTCCCAAGACAAAGGAGAACTATCAAGTTGCTTATGATAAACCAGACGAGTGTACTTTGGCTGTTGCGAACTACTTGAGTCTTGTGGTACTCAATATCTCGTACGTCTAACAATCGGCGATTCGAAATCTATTACTGATGAATCTTTTACAACAGAACGGATTTCCTCATTGTATCGATACCATTACCACTTTTGTGGGCTGTCAAGCTCAGTATCAAACGAAAGCTTGCTATTGGACTTCTACTCTGCTCAGGCATCTTCGTCATGATCGCCGCATTGCTCCGTTGCATCCTGTCGCTCAAGGACATTGAAGGTATCAATGTCAGCACCATCTGGGCAATCAGAGAGACTGTAAGTGCTTCCTCGAGTTTATGAATGGAAGCAAACATTGGTACAAGTTACAGAACTAACAAGATGTCCGTCATTCAGTTCGTTGGAATCATCGCCGTGAACGCAGCCTGCATCAGACCATTGTTCTCTTCCTCACATTGGTTGAGGTCTACCAAGGGCAGCAGCGGAGCCAACCAGAAGTACCCCGGCTCGGGTGACAGATACGGTCATCAATTAGTCACGATAGGAGGTGGAGGGCAAAGTGCCGATCGATCTGGATTGCCTGCAAAGAGACGATACAACAAGTACAACATGACGGAGTTGGACAACAACTCGAGCGAAGAGCAGATTGTGAAATCGTCCGACTCAGCCAACTGGCCTCAAAATGGTGGCCGCGACGGTAGTCTGAACAGCAAATCAAGTGGGCAGCACGGGCATGGAGGTATCGTTGTCACAACGACATATGAGGTGAAGCCAGAAAACAAAGTCTGAAATTTGGACCAACAACAGTGGCTAAGTAAGACAATGAGTGCCAGGGTGACAGGCTTAGGCTAGAAAAGTCCGATTTATGTACCTTTACTAATGACGCTAAATATTGACTTATTATTTAATAATAAGATATAACCTGACAGACATGACATCTCAATCCAGTAGAAGTATTCCTTTCAACCGATTTAAACACTTTGAGGCTATGGTCTATTGCAGGCCATTCTCCTGTTGGTCATAACAAAAGTCAGGCAGTCGAGCTCACACGCTGGAAAGCGTCAGTGTCAGACATTCTACACTTATCTATGTTGTTAGTCGTAAACATTTTGTACGCGTATTTCTCTTGAGGACCAAGAAAGCGACAAAGTAGCTCAAAAGGCCATCCTAATTCATAGTTCCTGAACGTTAAATGAGGGGTGTAACCTGAAGTAAATACGTATTGAGATAGGAAACCCGCCTGCCGAGACTTGACATGATCGTTCAAAGGATTCCGAATCCATCCGTCTAAGGTTCTGACAAGATTGTGACCGTCCGATCGTAAGTTTTGCTTGGATTCCAATCCTCATTTGTCAGAGGACTTCCCATTGCGTTCATCTGAGATTAGTTGATTGAATTCCAGAACTGCGTCCCGAATCAAGCTGTTTTGCATTATGTAGGCCGCGTTTTGGAAGCAGAAGAGCTGACTCGTGAACTTGGAATTGAGCTTCGAAAGTCTACAAGCGCCAAACAAGGTAAGTTACGAGTCCGCAATCTCTCGGGCGGCTTTGCTCACCGTCAACCCGTTAGAATGCCAAGAACCTACTGGCTCTATGCAAAGTTTCCTGGCAGCCGTCCGTCTCATTTTCTTGTCCACTCAGTTGTCCTGCGGCTGACTGGGCTCATCGGATCGAACACGCCGAAACAGATAGACGCGAGATCGAATTGGGCCGTTGGAGTATCAGAAGAGACAGCGCGTCTACCGTGCGCCGCGTCGCCGAGGTCAGCTGTGACAGGAAGAAGTCAAAACATTGGATGGTTGGCAATATTTTCTTATACTTCTGATCCAATTGCCGCAGAATTTCACTGAAAAGCTCTTGCGCTGCACTCCTGGTACTATCTGGTCTGCACTGGGACTTGCCTTGCATGGGCTTTGCGTTAGCTTAACTCGACCATCCCCTCTTCTTCAAACGACAAGCGCGAATGATTATTCGCACGCTTCTCTTTGGCAAGCTGAAAGTTATTATTCGCTAGAATGTCCAGCATGCGTCAGCGCAGTCGTATGCAACGTGTTCATGGTGATCATGATCCCTTGCCTGAGTTTACCAGCGACACCCTCCGCTCGGTGAAGGCTTCATGGGACTTCTTCATAGCATGGCTAAAAATCACCTGGTTTGACATATTCGTCATGTCAGCAATAGGTGGCGCTGCTCTGGGCGTAAGTATGACATCTTCGAGACAAACTGACAATAAGAACTGACGCTTATCGTAGATATATAATGCGCCTCTGGCCGCGACGCGGAACTTTCCCATCACCTTTAACAGCACTGGAGATATCGTATACCCCCAATGGGCATATCCTGATCGCGGCTGGATCATCGATACTTGGTTGTCTGCGTTATTGTCCGCCGCCATACCAATCGCTGCCATTCTCCTCGCCCAATTCCGTGTGAGGAACATCTGGGACGTGAATAATGGCATCATCGGCCTAATATTCTCTATCTCACTTGCAACGTTGATTCAAGTCATTGTTAAACAGCTAATCGGCGGATTCCGACCCTACTTTCTAGCAGTCTGCATGCCTGACGTTACGCTCGCAGCTAGCAACAACTCAACAGGACTCAATGCCGTTGGCTTCCAGCAAATCATGTACTCAGTCGATGTTTGCACGCAACCAGACCGCAACAAACTTAAGAATGCGATGACGTCCTTCCCTTCAGGCCACTCTACGGCTGCGTTTGCAGGATACGTCTACCTCTTTTTATACCTGAACGCTAAACTCAAGGTCTGGGCAGACTATCGCCCGGCTCTTTGGAAGATTGCGTTGACTTTTGCACCTCTTCTCGGTGCCTTACTTATCGCATGCTCTCTCACCATAGACCAGGCGCATAACTGGTATGATATCGTCGCTGGAAGCACCATCGGAACTGCTGTGGCGTTCGGCTCATATCGCGGATGCTACGCTGCCATTTGGGACTGGAGGTTTAACCACATTCCTCTACAAAGGCGCGATCAGTTTGTCTACTCCCCGGAAGACGGCACCGAGTACCGAAATGATGTATTCACGAGATCTGGTGGTTGGGGAGCAACACGGGAAGAAGCGGCAGAGAAGAGCCCGCCCAATAGGAGAAGCAGTGCCTACTACGCTGATCAGCAGACTACATATCACGGAGCTTCGGACAGGGATGCTCTGCCATCACAATTGCCGCGAACACGCTATAAACAGCGGAGGAACCAGCCTCGGGGGGACGAAGCCGTTTGAGAGACATTGTGTATCGAAGCTGTTGAAGTAGCGACATGCAGCGACAGAGCCGAGAGTTGCTGTCGGTTGGTATAAGCCTCTTGCTAGAATAATGACAAAGGAAGCTGATTTGATGTGATGATTGCATGTTCCCACTTCCCGTGAAGAACACGTGTATTTCGTACCGTCAACTTGCTTGATCTGTTTCTGCACGAGCATCAGACCCGAATGATATCCTGTCTTGGATTTGTTCGATATCAAGATACGCAGATGACAGCACAGGGTTTCTGGAGCGGATGAAGGCTCACGCAAGTTACCGTCATTGTTTACAACATCTCGTATGAAAGCTCAAACTTCAAGTCTTAACAAGAGATTCAGAGTACGCAGTACATATACGGAGTATCGTTGATCTATCGAGATTGCTTGAATCTCTATGAAGCGAAGCGGGCTGGATTCGCGTCTGTGGAGTCGGGCGCATCGCATCCTTGCTAGTCTCTACCCTAATTGCGGGCTCGCCGCTTATCCCACGCGAGCCGCGGAACTCAATGTCGGAATAAACCTGAAAACACCATGATGTTGTGCATAGGTTAACTTTCAAGGATATTATTCGGGCTTTCATCACACACGAAGGGGAAGATCTGCTGTTCATACTTGATTGTAGGTACTCTGTACGGAGTAGAACGACAAACTTGAATGCTTCGTCTCTTTGCTGCTTCATCGGCGCTTGAGTAAAAAATCCAGGCCAAGGCTCATTTGAGACGGTTGATTAGTGCAATGTGTTTGCTGGAGCTGTTCTAATTCCATACTTATATGGTCTGAGTGGAATTCTTTGCTAACCCATCCGTACGGATAGGTCGCCCAGAGGTCGCACATTTAGCCGTCATAAACCTCAGCAACTCAGTTCAACTCCCAACCACCACCGCGTTGTTATACCGTGCCCCTTTCTGCACATGCGGCATAATCCTCATCTTGCGACCTCCACCGCCGTGCGTACAATTCTCCTCGTATTGCCCAGCAACAAGTGTGTGCACGTTCCACTTACAACCCTGCAATGATACCAATCCGCGATTATCTTGCTATTTACGAGGATGAAGTCCGAAGAAACCCACAATTACTTGCTATCGGCTGACTCGGAGGAGCAGCAATAAGGGGAAAGATGCATTTTACTTGATGCGACAATGAACTGATGCAGTAATCCCCAGTCGACCAACTTCAGCCGCAATGAAAGATTAAGTTAAAACCTCCGCTTTCCCCGGATCCCCTTCGCGCAAAGGTCCTCTGTCTCTTTACGGCTCCTTTGTCGCGACCTTGTCACTCGTTTTTTTTATACAATTTCTCAGCAATTGTAGTTAATAGTCCTAATAATAATCAAAACAGCTCCACGATGTTGTCTCCGAAAGCCGCTGCCCTCTTCAACTTTGCCCTCCTGGCCTCCGCCGCCCCGGGAAAGCGCCAGTCCACCGGCACCGGATCATGCACCGACTTGCACATCTTCCTCGCCCGCGGATGGAACGAGGGCTACCCAGGCAGACAACAGCTTGTCATTGACGCCACTTGCAATGGCCTCTCCAGCTGCGACTATGAAGATATCTTGTTCGATGCATCCAACCCCTCTGGCTACCCTGCCGCGGTTGAGGAGGGTCGCGTTTCTGGAGTCGCCCAAGTGAAGGCATACAGCGAGAAATGCCCTAGCTCCAAAATTGTTCTGAGTGGTTACAGCGAAGGTGCCAACGTTGTTGGAGATATCCTCGCTGATTCTGGGCTGGCTGCCACCGCCGCTCCTGGAAGCCAGGGTACGTTATCCAGGACAACTACGCGAGTCGCAGGCCAAGTACTAACATGCCCTTCTACAGTCTGCGCCGCCCTCCTCTTCGGCGACCCTACTCACATCGCCGACCAAAGCTACAATGTCGAGGCCGGCTCCAGCTTCAGCGGCCAGATGGCCCGCTCGAGCTCTTCTCTGAGCAACCTCAACAACTTCTCTGGCGTCCTGCGCTCCTGGTGCAACGGCGAGGACATTGTCTGCGCCTACGGCGAGGGTCGAACGATGGGCGAGGATGCCCACACCAACTACTTCCAGCTCTACACCAACGACGCGGCCGCCTACATCAAGGAGAAGTGCGTGCCCTCAGGAACGACCCCTCCCACGGCGACCGCCACCTCCAGCCTTCCCGCGCCCACCTCCACTGGATCCTTCTGCGTTTCTGGCAAGGTCAAGACAGGCCTGTCTGAGAACTACACCGGTCTCTGCGAGTTCTCTTGCTCCAACGGTTACTGCCCTGATGAGGTGTGCGACTGCTCTACGTACGGAGAGCAGACGACCAGCCCTGGCGGAGATGGCCGTGATGGATGCCCTGCTGCCGGCTTGGATGAAAGCTACAAGGGCCTTTGCAGCTTCAGCTGCAGCCATGGATACTGCCCGACTGGCGCCTGTGTCTACTGCTGAGCGACTATAAGGCGCTGTCTGCAGATCCTGTATTCATAGAGCATGGGAAATAGACCAGCCTTCAAGGCATCAATACTACGCGAAATGTCAAAACCTGTGTGCTCAACATCCGTGACTGGCACTAACGAAGAGCCTCTTGAAGTGACTCGTTGCGAGGCGATCCGCTCCTGTAACTAAGCCCACGTCCTACATGTCACCGAGGCTTAATATATGCCAAATCAAGGCCCAAGGATGCGTGACGGAAACAAGAGCCCATGCGCGAAACAGTGCACACTCAACGGAGACTCCAAAATCACCATTTCACTGTGTCCTGCTAGATACCGTAATTAGGTGTGGTTGAACAGTAGACATGCCCTGAGTATTAAGGAAGGTAATTTCCGAAGTCAAGACTACCACAGTCTCTAGATGTTCTGTTCACCGAAGAGCGAAGAATCTAACAGTTCACCTTGACTAGTTCGCCTCCTTATATCTTGAATCTGTGTAGAATCTTGACAGTTTGCACAGGCCACGCTCGGGTGCGGGACCCGATGCCGTGATGTGATGTTTTGCCGGATTGACCGCGCTACCGGCACTTCCGACGATCCGGCCGCTCTTCGCCAGATTGGGCTTGTTGCAGCCAAACGAACAGAAGTCATGATGACAGTTCCGAGTGTGCACGGGGCGCCCGGCACTCGATCTGCAAGGACCAAGGCCCGAGTGCCAAGGCATGGGTGGTCATTGAGTGGACCGCGGGCTGAACATGTCGATGTCAGATCGAGCAGTGGGAAGTTCATCGAGGGGCAGGAATTACAGACTCCAAAATCTGAAGTGACTAGAACAAATCTATTGCCGGGGCTGGAATGCGGAGGACAACATGTCTAGGTCGTCTGGGACTCGGGAGAGGGAGACATGCCAGTATTGCGGACGGATCTGGGCACCAGATCCTTTGGGCATGCCGTGTTCCCGGTCCGCCTTTTCGGCCCCCAAAGAGATGGCTGGGATGTCCCTTTAGGCCTAGCTACTTCTCGGACAACAGCAAAATCCCTCAGTGCATTTGACGCGATGGGGATTGACAGCAATCCCATTCAGCATTGGCGTCCTTTCATATGTGTTGGAAGTACAAGCCTCTTACTATCTGCCCTTGGTCAATCAACTAGATAAAGTCAATTGAGAGCAAAGCTTTAGCTAAAGACCTCTAGTTGACAGACATGCGCCTGGGCCTTTTACCCGGCCATCTCATTTCCGGTCATGACTGTTGGTTCGTCATTGTTGACAACAACGAACCGCCAGGCAAGGGAGATGGAGATGCGAGGGATTCAACTTGGCGTCTAATCAGACTGGGACTGCCATGTGACCACAATAAACCCAATCCCCTGCATCTGAATTGACGTCAGCCAATCTGAAGTGGTCTTCCATCTTCCTTCCAAAGTGCTTCGCAAATAGTCTTTCAGTTCTCGGTGCTCCTCGGTTTGTTTGCACTCCCGTCCTGCAGCTGCTTTGGCTCTCCTGAAAATCGGTATTCGGTTCCATTAAAAAGCTCCGTTGAAAGAAGTGTACCGCCTCAACACGTGGGTGGAGCAAAGCGTTTCTAATTTCGTTTTGGAGAACAAAAAGATCGACAGTAATCGACATTTTCCGTTCCATTGTTCCTGCAGGAAATGGGAGAGGTGAGACTGTCAGCTTGAGAAATTGAACCGATGGGCTGTGACAATTGAGCGGGATGGCAAGTGACAATGGGAAGGTCAAATTCTCCGTGAACTCTATTGCATCCACGCTATCCTCATTTCCATCCAGGCTCTCCGAGCAATGTCGGGATGGATGGCTGGATCTGTGGTGAATGAGTGTGGCAGCTGTGGCTTGCTGCGGCGTTGTCACGTTTCCTAACCGTAACCGGTTGGAGGGAAAGCGAAACCACTGCTGTTATCCCTGTATTATCTTTGACTCTTCCAGGTTCCTTGACATTTCCGCAGACTCTGCACAACCAACGTCTGTTTGACATCACCCGTCCCTCACCTCAACCCCTGTTACCCATACCCAACGCACGTTTCTCGCGCGGGGGGGGAAACGCAACACATCGGTCAAGTGCCACAGTTGTGCCAAATCTGCCAACGCTTGGCCCACCGAACCAGACAGGGTGCTACAAGGTGTACAATCCGAACTGATGTCATTTACCCACCAACGGGCTGTCGCAATCACGGTACAACGGCATCGTGGCGCCTAAAGAGGCATGGCATTTCTTGTGGCGCGTGGTCTAGGCTCCTCTGGCTCTCCAATGGCCTCGGTGAAGCGTCCCAAACAGATCTGCTACTGCGGTTCGAGAAAACTGGGTTATGTGACTTTGGGCCGCCCATCCTTCAAAATTCTAGTGTGGTTTTTTCACCAAGCTCCCACAGCTCCCAAGCACTCTAAGCTGGTGGTACGCGTCAGACTGGAGCAAACGCCTCTTCGACTCTTGGTACCAGCAAGGGTTTGAACTGACACAACGCCGCACGAGGGCGCAAAAGCTCCGGCTTTGATCCACTACAATGATGAAATAGATGGGGTAGACCGATATTGGAGAGACCGCCTGTCTCGGTCTTGTTTCTAATCGTCTTTAAAGTCTTTTGGCTGTCCCGCTTTCTCGTCGAGTTCTTACGATGGTTTAGGGCATTCATAGCAATCGAACAAGCCACCCGCAACCTAATCCAGGCCACTTCCCCTCTCCGGTTGTTATTCAAACATGGCGCCGTTGCAGAGTCGCATTCTCGTCGGCTGCGGCCTAATCTCTACCGCTCTCGCTGCTGACAATGTCTTGTCGTTGACGCTCTCCGAATCAGTCCCCAATAATGTCTCAGCAACAATCGACCCATCATTCGCCGGCTTCGGCATCGAGCTCGACCACCTTTTTTACTTCATGGGCGACGAAACACCAAACGACCTAACCCTAAACCTTCTCGACAATCTGGCAAACTTCACCGGCCGTCCACCGCACATGCGATTAGGTGGAAACACACAAGACTACCTCGTCTACAACGACTCGCAAAATGAATGGCTTATCAAGCCGAACCCCCGCCCCACCGCGCCGGGGAACGTCCCTGCAGATAACTTCATCGTCGGTCCCCGCTTTATGGAGATCGCAAACCGTCTGCCCAAGGGCACGCCCGTCACATGGGGTCTGAACCTGGGCTACGCAGAGTCCGACTATCTCGAGAGGCTTACAACAATGGCGTCTCAGATTATCGACCGGTGCACCAACCTCAACATCATGTCCTTTGAATTTGGTAACGAGCCGGACCTTTATGGCGACAACGGTTTCCGCAAGAAGGCGGCTTGGTCCGGTACGGAGTACACCAAGGAATGGCGGGAGCGAGCCAACGCAGTGTGGGAAGAAGTCCTGGAACCTCGCGGACTGCACAGCGACTTCTTCGAGGCGTCTGCTTCGACCGCCTGGGTAGCTGGCACGGGTTTCGAGATCAAGGATTTAGTCGAGTACGGCATTGATGACAAGGCCAACAGCTCCGATGTTGGCTTCGTTACGAGTTGGAACCAGCACAACTACTATTACTTTGTGGGGTCTTTCCCGTACCCCTTGACTCTCGATTACATGCTGCGCTTTGAAACGACAAAGGCACAGTTTGACTCGGCCATTGAAGCTCAAATCACACAAGCCGAGAAGACTACGCACCCTTTCGCGCTGCGCGAGATGTCCGTCGTCGGACCACTTGGTGTGGAGGGACTCAGCAACACCTTCGCCGCCGCCCTATGGACTCTCAACTTCCTCCTCTACGCCACAACAATCAACATCTCGTCCGTCCAATTCCACATGACGTATGACAGCAATGCCAGCGCCTGGCAACCGACGGCCATGTTCGGACGCGACCGCTTCGTCCGGCCGCTCTACTACGGCATGGCCGCCTTCGCCCAGACTATTGGCCGCTCCTGCACCGCCCGCGTTGCCCAAGCCGAGATTACGGACTATCCTTCAGGCTACAACGACTACATCAAGGCCTGGTCGGTATACCAGGGCGACTCGCTCGCTTCCCTCGTCTTGCTCAATGGCAAGGTCGCCAACGTCTCTGACGCCAACAAGGGTAGTATCACTGTCGACGTTACCCTGCCCTCTTCCCTCGCCGGCGAGACACTTCATCTGGCCTATCTGACCGGCGACGGAGCCGACGCGACGAGTGGGACAACGTGGAACGGGCTCAGTTTCGAGCAGGGCAGCGACGGGAAGCTTAGCCAAGTGTCTAGCGACGATATCACCGTCAAGGTGGGCAGTGACGGCAAAGCGAGCATCCCCGTCCGCGACACCGAGGCCGTGGTCGCCAATGTCGGCGCCAAGGTCGGTAGCGCAGAGCCCGATAGTACTGCGTGTGGTGGGCTCGCGACTTCGTCTCAGGGGGTTGGTACGGCGACTACTTCCACCCCCGGGTCGTCGTCGGGTGGCTCGAGTAATTCGTCTTCGGGCAAGAGCAATGATGATTCGGGCGCGGTGGCTTTTGGTTCTGGAACGAGCATTTATAACTGCATTGCGTGGAGTTTGGCGCTTACCATGGGATTCTTTTTCTTATAAACTCGGGAATAGAACATGATACCTAGGGTCTGGCATTTCGGCGTACTTGGAAGGATGGATATAATGACTACATACTTCGGTTTCTTTTGTCATGTCACCAAAAGAAACCTATTCAAACGATTACCATATCCGTCTTAGCTTGTGTATGGTGAGGCCCTCCAAATGCGCAGTCATCAACGGCAAGTAGCCTGAATAAGCCAGCACCATAAAGAATCGAAGTTTTTGCCCCTGAAGTACCATTATGTTCGACACTCCTTGAATAGGAAAATACTGAGTAATGATCACAGATACACGGTGATATGAGCTTGGGAACCCTAATAAATATGCTCTGAAGAAGTATATACACGAATTGCCCTTGAGCTAGTCAATCTTGGAGGGTGGCGGATGCCTCGTATCATGAAAACTGTTCAATGATCATAGCCCTCCAATTCAACCAGCCCGGGTTGGGTTTTGAGTAGACCTGAAATCTAACAAGAGCCAGACTTTTCGCCAGGGCCGTTGTACAGTTGGCATGGTGTCTTAGCATCAGTGCAGACGTTGACAAGGGTCGCCTCGTCGCCAGTCTCCTCGTTGATGCCCGCAACCTCACCGCCGCCGTAAGCAGAGACTCCCTCAATGGTGACGGTACGCTTGCAAGCATCGCACTATATAATTGTTAGTCAGTTGTATTAGGTTGTGAAGTGGTTTGTTCCGAGAAACTCACGGTGCCGCAGGCTCTGTAAACCTTTCCGTAATCAGAGGCGTAGAAGTTTGAAATCTGTCATTCTTATGAGCAACTGTCACATATGCACATCGCTCCTCGAGTGTCGTATACTTACGCTGACACTTCCGCAGCCGTTATGCTGAACGACCTTGTCTGCGGCCTTGTAGGCACCGCCGCCAATGATGCGAGTCTCGGTGCCGGCCTCATCTTCTTTGCTGAAGTCGAGGTGAGTTTCGATACACAGACTCCTCGATGGAATCCTGACGGGACGATGGTTTGACTTACATTGAGATGGCATCCTCGCAGACGTCCTCGAACCACACATTCTCGATGGTGCAGCCGCCACCAATGCAGTAGACGCCCTCCATCTGATCCTTTCCGATAATAGCGTTCTTCAGAGTGGCACCCTTACGGAGGAGGAAGACAGTATCCTTCTGGCCACCTTCCGTCTGGGCCTTGCAAGCACCTGATCCTCTGTCGAAGCGGGCCATCTTGCCATCGTATGACTCGCCGGCGGCCACCTCGATAGGCTCAGTATTGCTGATTGTCTCCGTCGCGGTAGGGAGGGCGTCCTTGCCCACACAGGCAGAGACAGTAGGGAAGGCGACTGCCAGAGCCGCAAGGAGCTTGAATGCTTCGGTACGCATGTTGAGTGAGGTATGAAGTTGGATGGTTGATCAAAGAGTGTAGATAGTCCCGGAGATGTTGTTGCTGAAGTCTGGTGCTGAAACTTCCTTCATGCTATTCTCAAAGCAGACCTTCCGCTTCATTTATACTCGACTCTCAGGTGCCCAGTGAGATTATCGAAAGGTGGAAAGCCATTCTATTTCCAAGTTCATACTCACAGCAATACAAACAGCCGAATTAAGGAGGTCTTGGCCTTTGAGGGGATTCCGCATATCCTCCACAACCCGCGCTGTATAGCAGTTGATAGGCCCACTGATTAGCATCCATGATCTTGACGTGCCAAAGCCGACTGAAGGCTCGGTAGTGTGGTGTAGTGACTATTGGCAGCATACGCAAACTTGTACAACATTCCTCCCTCCAAACAAAAAGCATGCAATCAATCTGGGAACCAGTTCATCAATACCTTGGTCTTAAATGTCACATTACACGTGGAAAATCGAAGGAGGCCCGTTTCGAAACGCGCCAAGATGCGGTTGCCGTGCACAAGAACCGGACAAGATCACCACCGGTCGCCTGTCGGAGGGTGTTCCCGGGACCGGACATTGGGGAGGTGAGACGATCGCTACCCAGTGTGCTGCCAAGACTCTGGGCACTGCCACGCTTGGCACAACTGCCCAGAAGAACCAGAGCTTCAAATTGAAAAAGGAGTATACTGTGCTTGGACCGAGTCTTAGCCTCCCTTCGTGATGTTCATTAAAGTCAATGCAACTCCAGCTTTCTTGTTGGAAACACCAGGCCTCTAACCAAAATTTGCCCCTGTTGAGCATGCCAGGATGACGGAGCTCAGAGTGCACCCTCCCTAGAGACTGAGGTTATAGAAGTAAGGCAACTTGCTGCAATGAAAAGCACAACTTGAAAATCTGGTGGTAAACTCAAGTGGATTGCCGGGAATGCGTGAGTTGCAGGAAAGTTACGAGCTATCCGTACATGCACGTTGGGTTATTCATCAGACGCATGCTCACATAGAGCGATAAAGCTTGCGGTCAACAGGGGTTCAAGTTGAGCGGTTTCCATGACATCACTGTTCCCCGACCGTTAAGTTCTTCTTGTACAGGTTGCAGCAGAATAGATTGAAAGAATGAGGCCAAGCATCCTCGCGGCTGAAGTAAGGGGAGCATACGTGTTGACGCGCCATATAGACGAGCATGTCTTGGCACAATCAAGGAAGTACGACGCTCTTGAATCTGCACAGTGGTCGTATGAAATCCTGAGATCTGACCTGAGGCTCAAATACAGTTTCGACCGCCCATTTCCGCCGTGGATTGTAGTTCTACTTATCTAAGCGAACACCATCGGTACATGACAATGCTGTTGCGAAGGCATCCTCGGTAGGCTTGCTACAGGAGCGAGTAAGGTTTTGATCAAAATACTAGATTAGAGTACATAATAGTTAGGATACGGCGACCCGGGCTTAATCGTTGAATTTGACAACTAGGAGTCTGGCCATGTCTGGAGACCCGACTCCAGTGAAATCAACTTTAGCCAGCGCCAATTAGGCCCGTACAAGAATGACACCGTGCAGTAACATGAGTAGTCTGATGGTAACAACTACTTGGCCCATAGATTAGAAGTATACGCATATGCAAACGGCTCCATCTGAAGGAGAAAAGAAGCCTTCCTTCCCCTTGGTTATGATACACACACATCATGCAGCCAGTACAGGCCCCACCAAAGGCCTCACGATGTTTAAGACATTCCTCGTGGACTATGCACTCATGATGAGAAGTTCTTGCTCTCGTGATCGACTTGAACTGTTTCGACCGATGACTTCGTAGATTGACGGTCGAGCAGAGGCTTCAAGCCTGGAAGAGCCACAACGGTAATGGCAAGAGTCATTTCCAAAATGCTCAGAGGATCTGTGGAACTCTTGTCAGATTTTGATGTTGATGAGTGAGCACAGGTGTACTATGCTTACAAACCAAGTTCTCTTGGCCAGTGCCAACTTTCAGGGTGATGAAGCGAACAATAGTTGTCATGATGGTCAAAGTTCCAAGTGCGAAAGTAGGAGTCAAACCAGTGGATCGCTCGAGGACACCTTGAATCAACAGAGTCAAAGGAAGAACATAAACTAGAGATGTTTTGCTCAGTATGCGTTTTCAAAGGGACATTGAAGAGTCCGACAATCAGTATTAAAGGGACGACCATACCGCAAAGGTAGCAGGCGAGGTTGAGGGTAAAGTTGAGGATGAAGGGCTCTGGCGCATAAAAGACACTGCAGGCGCCATCTTCCTGTGACCACTGCACCGAAACATTCTTTCCACAGAAGAATGTGTCGTCCCAAAGTATAGCCATGTACGAAAGACAGACGAAAGCAGTGATGCTCCAAAGTGCCTTTCGCATTGCCGGATTGGTAGTTGGAGGAAAGTAGGCCCAGTAGAATGCTAGCATGCTCATCTTCGGGAAGCCCATTCCGACATCGTAGAAGTAGTTGGATGCGAAGGAGATCTTTGCGCTCGAAGTTAGTGATGACAGGGCGTTTCTTCCTGGCTACAAGCGTACCTTAGAAAGAGCGACGGAAGACTCCCAGTGATCCATGACACCGAGTTGGAAGGTCAGAGTGTCACATATGATCAATGCGAGGGCGTTGATAGCGGAGAGGACGAGGAGAATATCGGACCAGGCCAGCTTCTCTCGAAGCCGGAAGAGACGGGCGTAAAGCCGGAGACCGACGAATACATAGGAAACTGCCAGAAGAATCCATTCGGATATCTGAATTCATGTGTTAGAATGATCTTTCTGAGGTCGTGCTTAGTACTAAGAAGCATCAAAGCTAGGGGGACTTACCATGCAATCTTTTCCGTCTATGAAGTACGCCATTTCGTCGGGTAGCTCAAACAAACTAATCGCAAAGCACAGGTGATTACGATGACTCGGTAGAAGCAGACTCTGGTGCTGAGTTGTTGTACGGGTTGAAGTGAGACATCGGCATTAATAAAGAAGCCTACGGGAGCGATACGTCCGCGCATGCTACAAGCTGGGATGGTCTCCGAAAGAGCCACAGGTAGAGTATCGGCTGTCTATTGGTCCGGATATGAACCGAATTGCTACAATCGTGGGATCACAAAGATGTCAGTCATAAACGGCGCAACATTTCGTGTGGATTCACTCGACGGTTGGGAGCAGCAAAGCTGCAGTATCGACAAGGGGATTGAAGCGAGCTTGCAAATTCTGCAGATTTTGATGCGTGAAACAGCCCAGGACCCTTTATTTTTTCTTCTTTCTCAGTCTATGGTCTCCGCAGGTCTGTTCTCTTTTGGTTCGTATCCCCGGGTTCATCTGTGTGGTATCACAATTTATTCGTGCGTCCACGCCGCAAATGCGCAGAAATGTGGTTGAATCCTGACAGAGATGATTGGCTCCTCGGTCGTCCTCCGTCAGGTCCGGATCCGCCTGTTGGTTCTTCACAAAAAAAGGTCCATCTCAGTCCTTGCTCCATACCGTGCTCGCTTCCGCCTGGTCTCTGCTAACCGAACGCCGGGCGACTCAAATCCTTGTCAACGTCCTCACGGCGTTGGTATGTAACACTCACTCGAGCGGATTTGTAGATCACATTCGATCCCTCGAGATTGTTCAGCTCCACCTCGCCGCCTGACTCCTCCTCGGGAACTGCTCTCGCTATTGCCACAAACGGCTCCCTTCCCGAGGACAGCTTGATGTGACTTCGACTGAAGTTCGTTGGTTGTTTGTCAAATGCCCGCCCTGCTGATCCAGTTTGCCCGGTCCCATACTTCGAGGTAGCCAACCCTCGACGATGAAGAAGTGACTTCAAGGCAGGCAGAGACACGACAATGATTGCAGCCGCGATTTCTGTCATGGAAAGCACATCTGCAACTCATTTAGAATGATGCCATGATCTAGATTTCGCATAACATTATGGGGAAACTTACACACGTTCGTCCATGCGTTGATGGCTTCCACAGTAGCAAATCTTCCAACACTGGCCCCTATCGTGATGATGCCCGTCGAAAATGTGGCGGCAAGTCCAATGATGTATCTGCCGCTGAGTTGAAGACCGAACAAAAGCGGAAATGGAATCGTGAAAACTTTTTCCTGGTCAGTGGGCAAGCTTTGATAGCACGGATGAAACACTTAGCGTACTCAACACATCCGACACAAAATTCATGGCCCAGTCGATGCGGAAAACATCTTTCGAGTCATAGGTACTACAAGATCCCTCTATATCCCAATTAACAGAGACATCAGGACCGCACCAGAATGTATCCAGGAAAAAAGTCGTCACTGCGAAAGATATCGTCAGGGCGCTCACGCTGTAAAGCGCCTTTCGAAGAATCGGCATCGTTGGCGGAACCAGCTTGAAGTAGAAGGCAAGCAACGCAATTTTGGGGAAGTAGATTCCAGTGTCGTAAAAATAGTTTCCGGCAAAAGCAACTTTCATCAACAAGACCTGTTCGTCAACAGGAGCCTGAGGAGCGTCGGGGTCGTATTCGTCCATTCCGCCGAGGCTGTACGCCATGGTATCGGTCGTGAACAGAGCGGTAGCATCGAGCAATGAAACTATGAGGATCCAATCGCTGATGGTTAGCTTCTGATGCTGTCGCACCAGACGAAGCCATAAGCGTGCGAGGACGAGGATGATGGCTAGTCCTAGAAGAACGGCCTCGATGGGCTAGATAGTTTCATCTTAGTATAACTGACTGAGAATATTGCATGCGGTGTTTTACTACGCCAGAATAGCGAAACTGGAAGCTCAACTCACCACGACTGCCTCCTTTGCTACCCCTGCCATGATAAGTAGCTTGTCTGAGGAACAAGGAAATGGAAGTTGACTTCGCTATATGATGCATGCGTAGAGCAAACAATATTGGGTAATTAGGGGAAGACTTTGAGCACATGGAAGCGAGATGTTGGGAATCGGGACAAACAGCGGATGGACATGAACATTGCTAAGGATCATTGGGAACTCGTGAAGGATCCCGCGCCTCCGGATGACTGTAAAACGGAAACTTTACAAACAGCGCAGACATTGAGAAAAGAAAGCATCTTGATATGATGTGGAGTTCTGCCACACAAATCAAAACTGCTGACGATGCAAGGGGGCGGCGCCCCGTCGTTCCACTACTCACTCATCTTCCTGATGATGTATTACAATACCGGTATATTGAGGGTCTTCTTTATGAAGTGGTGTGGGAGCGTGGAGAACTCAAATTGGAATTTCTGAATCTCAGAGCACGGGGTGACTCTCCGAACTGAGCCGCCTACAAGACAAGATCACGCTATGCCACGTATCTTTTGACAAGGGTGGTCCAACACAGGATTGAGAAGCGCGATGCTGGAGAAAAATCGCGGGCACCTCCCCCTTGCCATCTTACATAGCATTCAGTAATCGATTCTTTGCAGGCGGGCACCCTTGTCTTATCGGGTCCAAACCTTTTTCCCGCATAGATGCAGCCGATTCGGCGAAGGATCCGAGTCTCTTCTGGAAGTGCTGTATTGGACGCAGGGGACTGGAGTCTTCAGGCGCGATTTTGCAACAGGCGCTCATCCACTCTGAGTGAACCCACACCAATTTCGAGACAGTGAAGGAACCGAAATCTTACGTTTCTTGCCACTCTCGCCTCGCTGAATATGTTGCCTCGAAGCCGTTTTGTCCTTGTAATTGCTATTGGTAGGCGGCAAAGAAGGCGGATTGCATGGAGAGCACCTGTATGTTCTCCTGAATGGACATTGTGATTAGCTGTTCACCTGGTACGGCGCGCAGAGAAATTGGTCAATCTCTCTACCAAAGTTCCACTATATCCAAACATTGCGTGACTTACGTGACATGCATCTTGCTGACTGCAGCCTCTTCGAAGACTACTTCCCACGATTCCGTTGACCCAAGCCATCAATCAGGTCTTCGACCGTTCATGTCTGAAAGTGGACTGCAGTGTACCCAATTACTACAGTACGAGAACGGTCTCCTTCTGGAACTTGAGAATTGGCTGCAAAGAAACCTACCAATCACTACCGCAAAGTGAATAAATTATTTGCTGAACAGTGAATATAAGGCAGATGCGCCTTGATACAATGTTTGAAGGCAGTAACACTCAGCCAAGCAGTCTGGTTTCAACATGGTCTAAAATGCATTTGTCGCATTCACGTGATCCCATCATTCTATCTGAGCCATGCTCTACCTAAAGGGAGGGGGAGACAACACGCTCGTACGTCTCTTCCGCATGCTTTTCTGCATCGAACTCGAGTATCCAGTCTTCTCTTGGTAAAGCAATTGTCGTTGGATCCTTCTTGACCTTCTCCCAGTCTGTCTTGTGCCACATTTCACGAGTGGAGACCCCAGTCTTCTGCACAGCCCTCACACGATCGTATCTGTGTTGTTGAGTGTTAAAATACCAGGTAAGTAGTTCTCGACGGATGGAAGGTACTATCTCACCGGATTCCTTGGTAAGCATTGAGAGCTGTACGTATGTTTTTCTTGCCCGCACGTCTCAGGCATACTGCTATAGTAACGCCGTCTTCCATGGCTTGAGTCGCGCCTTGGGTACTTGTTGGCAAGAATGGGTGAACGGCGTCTCCTAGTAACGCAATTCGTCCGCCTCCGCTGACCCAATTAGGAAGTGCGTCACGATACATGAGCTTCCAATCCACCAGTGACGGAGTTTTCTCGACAATTACTCGGCACATGGGGTCCCAGCCCTCGAGTGCGCGGCAAACATCCTCGATCTTACCGGGAAAGGACCATGATTCATCAATGTCGTATTCATCCTTGTGGGTTAGTACCCAAGAGCAATCTCGACCTCCCTTCAGAGTAGAGAATAGAAAATGGGCGTCTGGACCTATCCAACCATTGAAGGTATCGCCATTCTCACAGAATTGTCTAGTCCGAGGGTCTGCGAGCAAGGCGTCGGCGTCAAACCTACGAACACCCAAAATTAGAAACAATCTCAAAATCTGGCAAATACTACATCAAACTTACCATGCCCTCCATATCGCATACCCGCTGCTTTGTGGCTTATCTTTGTGGCCAAGAACCAGTTCCCTCGCTTTGGATCGTACACCGTCCGCAGCAATGACGACGTCAGCTAGAACCTGTAAAAGTACATATATCAGTACGACGTCGCGATACTGCCGCACCAATATCTGATGAAACGGGGATGTCGCTAACCTTGCTCCCATCTTGAAGCTGGATTTCTGCACCATCTTCGTCCTCGAAGTAGTCAGTGACCGGCTGGCCAAGATGTATTGGAATCGCTAGCTCATCCTTCGCATAATTGTAGATGACCTCATGTAGTTCTCCTCTGTGGCCATTAAGGACAGGTGCTTCGGGATCTGCAGGCGGTCTTTTCTGAGTGAGAACAACTTCGCCAGTGTCCCACTTGTGGATTCGGAAGCCGTAGTCCTGTAGATCGATGCAAAGGGGTTTTAATCTGGAGACGACGGCACCATTGGACCATCGGTGAAAGATGCGGCCAGCATTCGCACCAAAGGATATGATGTCCCCCAATTGTTTTAGCTCAGGGAACGATTCATATACCTCAACGTCGTGGCCTTGTCGATGGCACTCGATTGCAGTTGTAAGTCCCCCAAAGCCAGCGCCAACAACAATTACTCTGACTCCTGTCTTCGTTTCTGGTGTGGCCATGGTGGTTCCCAGTCCAATCAGCGTAGACGGTTTTGTGATACGAGCTCAAAAAGCCTTCCAAGGAAAACAGTATGGCTACGTCAAGATGAAATGGAAGTTGACAGAAGAAGGAAACACAGAATTTAACATCTGCCGAAGGATACAGTTTATCCTGACACATCTGCCGTGGGGTTGTCAATTTCAAGTATCAGATACCCCACGTCTCTGAGGTATTAACTACCCCACATCCGCTATGTGCAGCGGCAACGGTTATAATTTCCCGGCCGATCATTGGGGCATTGCGTAGACTTCAAGCCTCTTGAGAACAATACCAGTCGTTTGGATACAACGAGGCTTTACCTCTTTCAATCACGTATTGCTCCCCATTCGTTGCAGCGAGAACCTGACAGCTCCAAATTGAAACTAGTGTTCGCCTTCCCCACATGCGTACAACCTCATGTCATCTTCTCATAATCACCCAAGCCAAGTTCGCTCCCATAAATGCCGGTCTCAGAAGTTAGAGACGGATCTGTCTGTATGAAGCGTATAGAAGCCTTGAGTAGCCCCTCTTTCAGGCTTTGAGATAAAAGATACAACATCCAGAGCAGTAGTGTCCGTGCTTCCACTTGAGCTCAGCCAAGCAAAACGGGACAAAAATGGCTGCTGATGGTATTCGGGCTCACTTTTGGTGCTTTATGGCGTGCGGTATGATCGCATTGTCTCCATTTCAGTATGGACTAGACTTTGGAATCATTGGCGGACTGCAGGCAATGCCTGGCTTTCTCGAGGTTGGCTTCTTTCTTTTAATTCTCCGTCATTCGATGGCACCCTTACATCCTTTATCTTGAGTAAGTGGTATTGGAACTGACTTGTTCCTCTAAGGTCTATGGCTATGAAGACCAACACACAGCTATCGGCTGGAATATTTCCACCACCCGGCAGCAGCTCATATCTTCTTTGATGACACTAGGAGCATTCATCAGCTCTGTGCTTGCCGGAGTAATCGCGACCAAATTGGGACGGAAGATGTGCCTCTGGCTCTCTTCCCTGATGTGCATCGTAGCCAATGTTCTCATGATGACTACATCACACATCGGCCTGCTCTACTTTGGTCGGTTGCTCATCGGGCTAGGCAACGGAGGTTTCATGACCTTCTCTCAGCTTTATCTACAAGAGAGCAGTCCAGCAATATATCGCGGGCTGTTCCTTACTATCTTCCAGTTCTGTGTAACGATTGTGGGTATCCTACTGGCAAAAGTTATACTATTTTGAAGGTCTGGTGTGGCTAACGTTACCGCAGGGAACTCTCCTCGGCACTATCATTGACTGGGCAACTGCCCAGCGCCCTGACAGATCAGCCTACTTGATCCCTCTGGCGACAATCTACGTGATACCAGTTCTCTTGGCCGTCGGTCTTTTCTTCATACCTGAGTCGCCGCGCTGGCTGATACTGGAGGGCCGTGTAGATGAGGGTCACAAAGCTCTTGCATGGCTGAGACCCACTGATGCGAACATTGATGATGAAGTTGCAGAAATTCAAACGTCCATCCAAGAACATCTCGAGTTGACAAAGACCGTCAACTTTTGGGACATGTTCAAGGATCGAGTAGACCGAAGACGCTCTATGATCTCTATCGGCGCTGTATCCCTGCAGGCCGCATCGGGATCCATGTTCATCATTGGTAAGTTCCAGATCCATTTGACCCGAAGTTCATGAACTCATTCAAGTTGTACAGCTTATAAAGCATACTTCTTCTCTGTTGCTCAAGTCGAACACCCCTTTGCTATGACAAATGTCCTGTCTACGGCTGGCCTCTTGGCAATCATTGCAAATGCTTTCATCGTAGTTCGCTACGGCCGTCGCCGAATCATGCTCATCAACGGTCTTGTTATTTGTGGCTGCTTGCAACTCATCATGGCTGTTACTTACGACAAGCAACCACATACAATTAATGCGGGGAAGGTACTTGTCGCAATGTCTTGCATCTTCATGATCGCTTTCAACGTAAGTCTTAGAGAGTTCAAACTTATCTCGATACTTAAGATCAAATGACTGACGGTCTTAAAGGGAATGGTGGCGCCATACTCCTGGATGGTTGCTGGGGAAGCCCCATCACAACGACTTCGTAGCTACACATTTGGAGTTGCCTCAGCATGTGGGTATCTACTGGCCTGGCTTGTGACTTTCACCACGCCGTATTTCATCAATCCTAGTGCCCTGAATTGGGGCCCTAGGTACGGCTACATTTGGTTCCCGTCTTGCATTGTTGCAGCCTTGTGGGCCTTCTTCTTCCTCCCCGAGTTCAAGGGACGGACTCTCGAAGAAATCAATACCATGGTAAGAACTGAGACTTTCTCTGGGACGCTTGGTATACTTTATTATCTCACTTACACTCTAAGTTCATCGAACGACTGCCGGCAAGAAAGTTCCGGCGCTACGAAGCTCCAAGGATCAGTCAACCCAAGACTGTTGACACTTTGAAAGACGATATTGGTGTCGCTCAGATTGAAATGGTCAATCATTCTTGAAGTCTCCACAGCCGCTAGTACGCTCAGCTAGTCCGTCAAACTCAGATTGGAACTCATCATTTGTGAATGGACTTAAGGTTCCAAACACATGAGACAACGAAGTTTTGTAGAAGACATATTCACATTAGGTATTCTGGCATGAAAAGCCATAAGAGACAAATGTCGTGGTGCCAAGATTTCTATAATTAGAAAAGACTACCTAGTAGGTTTATCAGGCAGAATCTTCAATGGGGGGTTGGGCCAAATGTTCTATAGGTTCACGACAGCATGCGGGTGATGACACTCATGGCCCTTTCGACAACTGACTTCCACCACCCATTTCGTCCCGTAGCGGGGCTCTGGGCCTTCGGGATCTCTCCATTGCCAGAGGCATAGTCCATCTCCAAGGCATACGTCATTTGACTCTCTCTTTGGAGTTCCTCCAGATGCAATTTCCTCCTGACGTTGTAAGCTCGTATGTACCCAGAGAGGCTCGTTCGGATGCAATCAATGTCGGTGCTTGACAGCCCCTCATCTTCCACACACTCATCAAGCATCCGGCGGTGTATGAGCACAAGGCCCCTAGCTTCAGTCAGAATGAGGCATGCCGAACATCCCGGGAACAAGTATTGTTGGTCAAGACCAGATATTGTTGGACAGAAGAAGTGATCTGGCCCGCGGGAGGAGCAGGTCCCATTTGCGTGCTCAAATTTAGCCAAGTAGAGGATCCTGGCGCAAGATTTCTCGCCAGTGGCCATGCAGGACTCGCCTATGTGACAGGCTCGGTGTTTAGGGTCGTAAGCATCCCACAGCCCGCTTCTTTTATAGGCCGCGAACAAGCTTGCCTTTGGACAGGATTGCTCCTCAGCTAGGACGCACAATCTTCCCACGATACATCTGTCATGAAGACTTGTTTCGCGGAGCTCTAACTTCCAGTCGATGACGTGGTATTGCCCGCAAAAGGTATTGGTGGCACGCTCGGATTGCAATGTTGCGGACATTTTGCTATCTCTTCGTGTCAGCTTCCAGAACATGGCGCGCAAAAGACTCGTAAACGAAATGTGGAAATTTCAGAGGTACAAGAAGACGGGAGTGATAGGACTGCAAAACACATTACCTCTGATCAACGAGTTGAGTATCTCGTCCAGAGAAATCGGCTCAGAAAAGAGGCGATCAAGCGATGCAACAAGACAATGGGTGATGGAAGAAAGTGAGGAAAGAAGAGGCGAGGCTATGGCTTGTTGCGCTGAAAGTCGATTCTTTGATCATCGTAATCAGCGGGGATTTTATATCCTAAATAGACGCCAAGAAGTTTCCTCTTTTCTCCTTCCTAGGCGCTGAGGCCTGCCTTGTCGGATATCTGCATGGTCCCAGCTGCCCGGCCATGCAATGTCTCTGCCTTTTGGTATCGGGCCGTTCGCTGCTGAAAAATGACACTGTCTTGAACCTTGCTCAATCCGCCCTGTAGACCTCACAGACGCATTGCTCGTTCTTGGCGATGACTTAGAATTCCTTTGAAGTGAGACAAGACTGCAATTTGCCAGTTTACTTCCAATGTTTGTGAGATTAATCATTGCTAGGAACTTGCGTATTGGTGACACTATTTTATTGCTTAGAACTGCGATGGATTAAATGCAGTTGACGTTCCGAGGTGTGTTTCAACTGTCATATTGTGGCTCAGAGCTAGGTCTCTTAAGGGTAGAACAGAGGACTGTGGGAAATAGGCCAAGGCATCCCTTGTGCAAGGCGTCCAGTAGAAGTCACTTTAATGTCTGCGTGGCTGTAGCTGATTTCGGTGTAGCACGAGAGGTGTCTTATGACGTTCTTGGATTGGTGTATTTGAATGAAGCCACGCTGGACTACTTGCATTGAAGTGCATTTGGCAATCCCTGCAATTCCATTTCTCGTCTTGGGCCACCACTTCTGGGCAGTTTCCAACCTCTGCACAGCCGAATCTCATTCTCTGCATCGTGATTCGGTTTCAGAATTTTCAACCAAGATGGGCAAACCATCTTCTAGCTCTCTGGACTTGTTCATGATTGACTAGCCTTCGCCGATGGCCTCAGGCGCTGGAGGACTAGCCAATTTCCGCCGTTCTATTGGTAGCGTGACTCTACTCTTTTCCCGTTCGGTCGTTCAGATATCCTGGCCCTCTTACTTGTGGTTGCCCTAGATGATCTCCACGAGCCGATGACCCCAGCCATGGCGGCGAATGTTTTGGCCACTGTCTTGCCTAATTCCCGGGTCCCGAGCGTCGGAATCGGCCTATTTTAAGCTCGAAAGAACAACGTGGTTTACATTTGATTAAGCTTCATTAGTATCATGCTTGCCACTGCCCAAAAATGTGATCGGCAGTGGTGTCTCGACTGGTGCCTACAACCACCCCACGAATATATCAAATGAGCAAAAGGATGACTGGCTCACTTCAAAGACTGACTATACCAAAGAAGGAACTCATTCATTTTTCCCTAGTGTTAATAATTTGTATTCTATGTGGTATGTAGGCTAAGGTGACAAGGTCAATCGGCAGTTGTTCATGTCGTTGGCCATGGTACACGTCCGCGGCCGAGGTCCATTCACGGTCCGATAGCGGAGATGCGGCGAATTGATGTGCACCCGATTCCTCTGGCGGTCGGTTCCGATTAAGGCTTCCGCTCTGGCGACCCCGCCATTGTTTGGTCGCCTGATAGTCCTCCTTAGTAACAGATCAGTGTATTTCCCATTCCCGCTGTTCCTGAGGAGTCAAGTGAAGAGCTTCTCAATGGCAAACTAAGCAAATTAGGACACACTATACAAATCGCGCACGTGCGAAAAGAGAACCAAGTCTTCGCGCGAGTTTTGAGCTGCAGCATTGCTCTCGTTATCGCCGGACTCAAGTATCCGAAGATCATCAATTACTCATATTCTTCATCATGGCTGATCTTCAGGATCTGGACAGACACTTAGCCTCACTACAAGCAACTCCTGCAACACTGGCTGTTCTTAAGGACCTCCACACCCAAGCTCTCACTGAGCCTCCGTACGTCAGCACTGATAGTCAACCCGCTTCAGTTGCCCTGGAAAGATTTGTGGCCCTGGAGCCGGATAAGTGCGCTCTGGTATATCTCCTCCTGCGTGCTACAGGGGCAAGACATGTCGTCGAGGCCGGGACCTCCTTTGGCGTCAGCACGATCTGGCTTGCCCTCGCCGTAGGACAAAACGCAACGGCACAGGGTGCAAACGGCAAAGTGATCGCTACAGAGAACGAGCCTGCCAAAGCCGAGAAAGCTCGAGAGCACTGGAGCAAGGCGGGACCTGAGGTTGAACCCTGGATTGAACTAAGAGAGGGTGACCTGCGAGAGACACTGAAGACTAATCTACCAGGAGAAGTTGACTTTTTGTTACTCGACAGTACGTTTTCTACCCTTCCTGAAAGCTACATGCAGGGCTGCTAGCCCATGCCATGCATGGTATGAGTCAATCTGCTAACGGCTTGACCAGTCTGGTCGCAGCTTGCGATGCCTACACTCGCTCTTGTGAGGCCGCATCTGAAACCCGGCGCCTTGATCGTCATTGACAACATCATTTCTGGTCAAGCTGGTTACAAGGATCTGATTGAGCATCTCGACGATCCTAAGAATGGGTTCAAGACAACTACGGCTCCATATAACGGTGGTTTACGTGTAGCTGTATACCTTGGTCATTAGATCTTAAGTTCAGACTTATAGAAGAGGACAATCGAGGCCATGAGCAGGTGCAGTCACATAGTTGTATATACATGGATATACATCAAGATAACAATAGCAAGAGAGATTCTCGGAGCTTTTGAGTACAACAGAACAGCCGCCTGTAGATGTCTTCACCCGGAGTTTCGTGTCATGTTCAGAGGGCCTGGAGCATTCCCTCATGCTTTACAACCCATGATCCGTCTTTCGGAAACCCAGGTGCGTGCCCTTCGGAGCCGGCCCAGCCAGCTGCCATGTAACCGATCGCCAAGAGAAACCCCCCGTTTCCAGGGAAATAAGGTGGTGGAGATGGACCTATCGCAACCTGGTTAGTCGATCGTGCTGAGGAATTAACCCCACGAGTAGTCCCGTGGTACGCAAATCACGCTCATTCTGCATGCTGTATGACTCACTTGGACCAGACCTGTGAGCAAAACCTTGATCGCCAAACGCCCAGTAACCAAAGTTGGTTAGGTGATATATAGCTCGTTCTGGATTCCCGATCCGCGCCGAGTTGATGGCCAACACGTTTCGGCCCCAACCTCGAATTTGGGCGTCACCCCACACATCCCATACCTTGTTTGCAGTTCTAACACCTACTTCTGGGCTCACCTTACGCATCTATCGTCAGTTAATGAAGCAAACAGGGAGTCTACTCTGAATCTCCGTAATACTTACTAGTGGGGTATCGGGTACCATGCCTTGTAACATAATGATGCTTCTAGGATCTTTGTTGAGCTGAGGGTTATCCCACCAGGATGCATTTAGGCCACCGCCAACCCAAGGAGCGAAGAGGCCGTCATACTCAGGAGGGAATGCCATATTCTCTGCCACTCTAGACCACGTTGGGGGGCAATCTTGTTCAAGTCTCTTTTTCCAGTTGCACGCTGCATTGAGGGCCCATTGCCAGTAATCAAGCTCGTAAGCCAAGTTCGAAATCTCCGTAGGGGACGAATTCTCCGTGACACCCTGTATAGGTGGTCCTAAATCATATTTGCCGCTCGAGTTGTTGAACCAAGCAAACGATGCCATGTACTGGGCAGTTGACGTGATGACACGGTCCCATCGTTGAAGAGTCTCCTTGCTTTGGTTGGCCTTGTAGGCTAGTTCTGCAAGACAGATGGGGTGTGGTTGCTGCCATTGAAGATAAGCCCGGGTCTCTCCAGGAGCGATGCCCTTGGTAACAAGCTCCGTCATCTTGGGCCATCTGATTGTCCACTACGATCAGCAGATGGAAATCTCACAATCTGTTGGAGTTGAAAATCATACCTTGCGCCCTCCCATCCCATGCGACGGGCTCTTGCCTCGGCGCTAGGCAGGAGATCCTCATAGACAGCAGGGAATATCCTATCAAAGTACTTCGATCTTCCCCAGGTCGCCCAATGAGCACAATGCCAAACGACCATCTCCATGTGAAACTTACCCCACCACCCGTTATACGCCAGACCACTTTCTTGTGGTGGCTGGCCAGTGGCAGCGCTATTTATTCTCATCGCATACTGTGAGAGTATGATGCGGCGCTGGAGCTCCGTCGCGTTTGAATTTGATGACTGGGTGAGATCTACAAATCCCCCTTCTTGCCAGTACTTATGCCAATCAAGGCTGTTTCGCCGGCGAATTGATGAGGGCAGTGGCGGCCTTTGAAGCTGGAGGCTATACTGGGCAGCGAACGACAATCTATTTGCTCTAGTGAGATTGTTTCCGAGGATGGCTGGAAACAGTTCATAGCGATGCCCATTAGTCGTAATAGAATCCTGCTTCCCAATTCTGTTTAAAGTCAATAGCGATTCCTTGGGCCAGCGCAAGTTCTGGTAGTATGACGTTTCTTGCATTGTGTGATGGATGTGAGCTGTGTCATCCAAAGTAATATCGGACTTAACAATAGAAGTAGTGTGATTGTCCGGGAACTGGTAACTTCCCATGAACACCTCAAAGTCTGATGTCTTCTCAACCTTGTGGATTGGAGGAAACGAAAAGTCAAATTCCACTCGAAGGGTTCCATCATAGATCAATACGGACTCAATGTCGAAAGTCACGGAGTCGGTGTCAAAATCTCCCTGGGTAACCACTTTCACATCCTTACCATCAATCTTGAACGACGAAGTGGAAACACCGTTCCAGAGGTCAAGGACTTGGCGGGGTTCCGTGATCGATGATAGCATCTCGTTCTTGTAACCAAAGCTGATGCAGCCAAGATTGATGCGGTTGGGGTTGGCACTCAGCCATTTGGAAATTTCTGGCAGCTTCGGATCTTCAAGGTCGTAGATGACTTCTCTTCCATGCGTAGCTACAGGAACGCCCACATATTCTTCCAACTTCTCTCTAGTGCATTGCAGCGCGGTATGGGTATACGAAACAGGGGAGTATGAGATTGACTGAAGAGCCAAGGCCTTACCCGTTTTGTGGCAACGCATCCATATGCCATCCCCAGCTGGAAAGTGTGTTGAAAGCTACCAACGATTGCGTACCCGTAATGTCAAAATTGAAGGCAAAGTCTCCATTTCCAACTTGAAGAGGTGTTGTGGTGTTGTCAATGACTTTAGGCACCTCTGTTCGCACTACATTGAAAGATTCTACGATAGCTTTCCTGTTGAAACATCAGCGATTTCAAACATGAGAACATGAGGTCTTCTCCTAGACCGATAACTTTCTTTTCTCATACCTGTCAATGGCTGCGGCTGCCAGGGCTGGCGCCAGCAAAAAGAGTTGCACGAACATCTCAGAAGGTCATGATACCAATTACCGGCGGGAACTCAAGTGAGATTTGACTGGATAGGCATCATGTTGAAGATTTATAAGGAGTCGACGGATAAGCGTGCAGACATATATCCATGGTACCGCGAGGTAAAGATGGGTGACTCGGTTCAAGTCTACCCCAAACGCGGGGTTAAGGCCCCTGCCGCCGTTCCCAATTTCCAAAGGTCCCACGATGGATCATTCAAAAGACGAATGGGATTAGTTCCGTCGTATCTGCCATGTAACCCATGCTCCAATGGAACGAATTAACTTTAATGATTGTGTGAGATTGCTATGAGATATGAAACGCTTGAGCTAGAAGATCTAGAGACTGGCCGAAACTATTAGTGTCTTGTCAATGAACAGTCTCACGGTCTCATTAAATTCTTCCTCTCTTTCCCACAACGGCACATGGCCACAGTCTTTCCACACAATGTACTCCGGCCCTTCTCCCAAGGCAGTCTTGATTAGCTCGAAATGCGGAAATGTAATGGTCTCGTCAAAGGTCCCGTGCATCACCAAAATTCGGGTTCTGCCTACTTCGTCCCCTAGTCTTGCGAGATCTGCGTCACTCTTGTGGTGCCACCCAGCGGCAATAGCCTGTAACATGATGCCTTTCCTCCGAGAAAAGTCGGTATCTTCGCAACGTTCTGCGAGTTCCTCTGCCACAAAGCGGTCAAGGTTGGTGGGAAATGCTTTCTCTGGGTCCAGGGATCCGGTGTCTGGAGCATTGAGATAACTCCTGGTGAACAGCCTACTGGCCTTATTCTTGAGCTCTACGTCAACGGCTGTAGGAAGAAACATTGCGACTCGTTGTTTCATATGCTCAAACGTATGAACGGTTCGAATCAGGCGAGGAGCCGTAGAGATGAGGATCAGCGATTGCAACCGTTGAGGTATCAGAAGGGCAAGCTCTTGCGCAATCATGCCGCCTAAGCTGATTCCCGCAATGTTCAAGTCTCGTGGGTAATACTGAGAATCGGTATCGAGCCAGCCAATGTGCCTTAGCAGTTCGACGAGGTCTTTTGCCATATCCAAGGTGCTATACCTGCAATTTGGCTTGGCCGACTTGCTGACCCCGCGATTATCAAATACAAGGGAGCTGTACTCCTCGCCGCGCAGATGCCCAAAGTGTCGATTCTGACGCTTCCACAGGTTCCGGCTTCCACCGAGGCCCATGATCCAGACGATTTTCTTTGGTCCTCGGCCGTGAACTTCGTACCACATAGGGAAAGGCCCTCCTGGACGGGATTCGGCGACCGTCGCGAAGCCCGATAGCCTGGGTTTAAGATCCCATTGCGTCGTTTTGTATGCAGGATGGCGAAGAATCTCTTCTGCTGAGAGGCTTGTCGCTTTGGTGGACATCTTTTCACCAATCGGTGAAGCCTAACCTGCGGGCAATTAGAAGAGTATGGCGATTGTTGGCTTATGTCAAGCAGTCAATTTTGACGATCGACTAGATGTCGGGATAAATTTGGCTTATCAAGAATGTTTGAAATATCTAAGTTGTTCATGTCTAATGTGAACGATAGATTATTATCGGCATGGTCGGTAATGCTAAGTTGTTGAAGGTTCGCGGTCGCTCGGATCTGTGTTTCACAACAGCCGAGGCCGATGCCACAATGAGTGACACACAAGCGCCGATGCTCCAGCCCTTCGGACGACTAGAAGAACAAATGGAAGCCTCGGATGCTGATGCTCTGGGCTTCAATCGTCACGCCGAGAGCTGTCATGTTCAATCACGAAGGTTGCCCAATTGTGGACAAAGTCCAGAAACAACGGTAGACCTGAAGACCGGAAGATTGAGGGCGCCCCGACCCCAGTGCGCCTTATTAGCGGAGGCTTCATGCTGAGATGGCGCAGCTATGGGCTTCAATAACATCCTCTGGCATCCCCGATGCGACGTTCAATTAACTCTTTGAGATCGGACGGTCCTTCATGCTCTCCACCTCCCTGTGTCTCCAAAAGTCTTGATGCTTGCTAGATGTTGTCAAGTTTTCTCAACCGAAAGTCTCATATCTTGATTGAAGCTACCAGAGCATGATGGACTGATATGCATCCATTGGGTTATTCGTTGAAGACCCGTTCACGGCGCTTCTCGTGCCAACGTCTTTACGTTTGACCTGGCCTGAGCATTGACGCCTGTTAGTGAGCGCGCTGCCCCTTCTCACTTCCAACTGTAGGAGCCCGCGTCGGCCTTGCCGGGAGCCTTGGACCGCCCCAATGATACAGTGGCTCGGGGGCTTGCAGATTCACGTCGCGGCTATCAAACCCCTGGTCTTTTTGGTCCCATTCAAGCTAACTGGCCATCTTCCAGGACCGAGCACGTATCTCACAGGTCCAGCTGTTCATTCAGTCAAAGGATACCTGCCTCCATTGGCGCCTACAAAGCGACGCGTTTCGCTAAGCGCCCTGTCTGGGGTGACAAAGCAAACGCGGTTGGGGTTGACTCGTTACGACGCAGACAGCCGAGCCCCTGTCGTCTCCAGTGTTGGACGGCCTGCCAGATGCTCCAGGGTTTGGAAAATGAATGATTGGATGTGACTGTTCAGCGCTGCAACAGTAATAGCGCCAAAGCTCAAAGGATTGGTGTTACTATTTGCGTTGAACAACATCGTGAGGTTAGACTCATTGGATATTGTTTCCGCTCAAGAGCAATGGTCTTTGTCCATTTTCATCTTATAAAGATGAGTTTTCAGGTATTCTCAATGCTGTCCTGAATCACTCTCAATACGACTTTTCATTCCTCTCTCCATCACTTGGCGCCTGTGTTTCCTCGGAGTTTTCTAAGTACTTTGCACTGCCGGTCGGTCTCGCATTTTTTGCATTATTTCCTCGTCACAGCATCATTTGATAAGCCTCTCGTGCCCATATTCCAACCTTCCGTCTATCTCTCTGTTCTCGAGAGCTTTCCACAACCGCATACTTCGAAACTATCTACGATATACACGATCTTTCACCTCGTAAATACAATGGGCAAATTCGGAAACGCTATCAAGGCAGGCCAAAGTGCCGTTGAGCTCGGCCGCAACGTGCAAGGCCTCGCCGGCGCCGCCTCCGAGTTCCGTTCCGCGGACAAGGCAGAAATGGGTCGCCAAGCCGGACGCGGTGTCTTCAACGAGGGAGCTGCAACGGGCAAGACGATGGGGAAAACGTGGCTCAAGACATTCGAAGTCGTACCCCGCCTAGTCTGCCGCGGTCTCCAATTTCTCTTCGCTCTCATCGCCTGCGGCTTCTACGGCAACCGTGTCGACGCTGACCGCAAGGCAAACGACGGCTTCTCACCGGAGTGGATCTTTGCCATTACCGTTGCAGGAGCTTCAGTTGTGACGGCTGTTCTCTTCGTCGCTGCCACCCCGCTCGGTGCTATTCCCTACGTCGGCAGCAGAATCAAGATCTTCAAGACCTATCGTGCTTTTGCTTGGGACTTTGTTCTTTTCGTTTCTTGGATCGTGGTGTTTGGAATTTTTGCAGCAATTTTCCTTCACAGGGAGAGCGACAACTCGTACAAGGGCAGCAAGACAAGCTTGATGAAGGTTGCAGTCTGGATCGACCTGGTGAATGCAATCTTTTGGTTCGTTTCTGGTGTTTACGGCTGCATCAAGACATTTTTGGGAGACAAGACGGACGCAATGACCGACAAAATTGGCCAGAAGTTGTTTGAGAAGAAGAAAGCTAAGGAAGTGCCTGCCAAGGAGGCAGGCTACGCAGAGAGCGTATAATGCTCCAACTACACACCCTATGATTGTTTATCAACAATCCAACCCTTAAATCACCGCACTAGATATAGCTGTCGGAAGAGGATTAATAAAATATCACTCAACGTACACAAGAGCGACACTCAACCAGTCCTGTACAAGGCTGTTCACTGACTCGTTGCGTTCTCCTCATTCCCAGCTTGTACCGGATGTTCCTAGTTGACTACTGCTAACAAAAAGCCGTCCAAAACAGTGTGGCCCTCATGGACCGTATGCGCGGTTGATATCATGGGAACGACCGTCGCCGTGACTCTTTTATCCTTCCCGACATGGGTCAACAAAGATTCTTTCCCCTCCTTCGCCTTATCTTGACCCAAGATGTTCCACACAACATTATCGACATAGATGCATCCCTTCGGTCTCGTCAGTTTCACCGCCCAGTCAAAGTACTTCTCCTGCTCGCCCCATGATGCATCGCAAAACACCATGTCAAACTTGCGGCCCTCTGCGGCCAGCTTGGGTAGGACGTCCAGAGCAGAGCCGAGTATGATCTCGACGTCGAGCCCCGAGACATTATCAAGGGCTACATCGCGATGCTTTGGGTTGATCTCAATGCTAGTGACTTTCGCTCCCGCTTCGGCAAGCCAGATGGTTGAATACCCGCCCAAGGTACCAATCTCGAGCACTTCTTTGGCGCCTATGAGCTTGCACTGAATGGCGAGGAATTGCCCTTGGAGCGGGGCAACAGTGATCTCCGGTAAGTTGTGCCTCTGAGAGTTCGCGATCGCGTTGTCCAATTTCCCGTTTGGTGGGAGAAGATTCGCTCGAGCGACGCTTTCGATGGCATCCGCAGCCGCGACGGTATTTTGCTCCTCGGTGGTCATCTTGGTGGCGTTTCAGGTGATTGTTTGTTGGTGTGCTGTTCTGAATGTCTCCAAAATGACCCCCCCCATCACCGCGACTGGCGAGACTTAAATACTTGCAAACGTTTGGACACTTGGCTTATCTCCACAAGCACATAGTGTAGATGAAGCACTTGACTATGTCAAATAAAGCAAGTAAAGCTCGGAAACCGAGCAGAATTCCTTCGGCGATTTACACTAGTTGGGAACTTTTGCTCTTGCATCCAGTGCGCCATCGAGTTTGGAGCACATACAACATAGGTTCCAACGGGCTCGGCCCGATCGGCTGCCGAGATCCATACGAATTTACGAAGAACCCCTCTCGCATTCAACGATGATTGCGAAACCGCGGAGATGTGCCACCGACTTGCGAAGAATCAGGAAGTTTATTCACAGACCGCGACTAGACATTTCATCCATTCGCTGCAAGGAGTTATCTAGTATTACACAGCGGCCCGGGTCAAGTATAAAAGCCGGTTCCGGTGCGTCCGCCGTGGGGCCGCAGAAGTAGCTAAGGCCGAAACGCGACGAGCGGGGCCGAGACGGTGTGGGGGAGGAGTTCTGCTGGGCAAGCCAAGGTTTCCTGAAGATGCACAATCGTATCACACAAATATATGGTGATGACAACGTTCTGTAACAAAGGAACAAGGAACTAGTTCATGCTTCCATGGATATAAGATTTACGGGAATATTTCCTCGCTCTCGGCGAGTCTATTCATATATGAACCAGGACGAGTTGATGATTGGTGACAAGATGCAGGTGTCCGGCCACGCTCAGGCCTAGTTTCCTCCTGTCGGTTTTGCACAGTACTTTCGAACACTAGGCATATCCAAAAGCTGTACGATGTGTTCGATGCCTCAGAAAGCTACCTAAATTACCACTGAAACAGTCCGAGTAGTGGGAAATTCTGTTGTATTTATACCACAAGGCACCAGTCAAGCTAGCTGTTGCACAACTAAATTTGGTTGAACGGCAGAGAGAGAGAGAGACGATCATTTCGCTCAGGGGCCAAATCGGGCACGGCACTAGAATTTCTTTTGCAAAGCAGAATCAGAGATATCTGTCGCACAGTATGATGGGGCCTCCTTGAGGAACAGCACTAAAGGTATTCCATCCTACGAGGGGTGTCGAGTATCCCAAGAGGGGTGGCCAAGAGCGAGTCTGCGATAGAATCGTATGAACAACTTTGTCATAGCGGCCTCCAGTAACACGTGTGGTGTCAAGACCTACTAGAATCCGCCTGGATGATCGTGAGTGCAACATCTTCGAGCCTTCGGGGTTGCGGTCAACAACCTTCGGTCAGCGACGGACAGTCTATGTCGAATTGTTTGCACGGGGATAATTTCGCGAAAAATTGAAAGAGATCTTAGAAACTGCGATGAGGCTAACGGGCCGCATTTGGTGCCCGCGGATTGCGTCCGGCGCTAGAAGTCATGAGGTCCACTTCGTGTGAGAATAAGGGGGGTTACTCAATGCATCTATCTCCACCAGAAACCTCATCGCAGACCAAGCACAATACCCGTGCAGTGCTACCAATCACCTCGCCGGACTTGGTCAAAACTACTCCTCGGGAAATTCGACACAGGACCACAATGTTATGGATTTAAAAGACATGAGCCAATCGATGGACCCCCTGACTTCGCTAGCAATGCGCTCGAATTTGACGGACGTTTTGAACCAATTAAATTAACAGTGGATTACTACATGTAGGTACGGATCCTGTGTTGCCTCTCGTTGCCTCTCGTTCATTCATCAACAATTACTGTACCCGTCGCGTTGTCTAGACCACATTGTCCCCGCGCTTCGTCTCAACCTCCATTCCAAACTCTTTCTGCACTCTGATCGCCCCAAACCCACTCTTTGTCACGATCCTCTTTTGGCTGTGATCGTCTGGCAAGCTGTCGCTGCTGATATCGCCCAGATCTCTGCCGTAAACCCTTGTCTCAACCCCAGATCGACTAGCTTGGCTGATGTTCTTCCTCGTAGGGTCCCTCTCTCCGAGCTCGAGATAACTGTTCTTGACGGCGGCTGAGGCGGCCGGGTCTTTAGATGACTTGTTTTTCGAACCGGTGAAGGACGTAAGGCGGGCAAGGGCGCGTTCGAGGAGGGGTCGACATGCGGGGAGGTTGGCGACGAGCATTCCGATGCCGACTTCTGCCTGTGCCCAGGCGAGGATAATGCTGAGGCCTTGTAGGAACTTTTCGGCATCGTTAAGTAAGAGGAGGTAGTTGAGTCGAACAATGGGAGCCACCGATGCACTGGGAATCGTTAGCAAGGCGGGAAAGACGCTGAAAGGCCGTGCAATAACTTACAAGAAACCCAAGCCCAGAAGACCGATAACAGAAGCCTTGACCTTATTTGCCATCTGCAATCTCCAGATGAGAGCAAAAGGCATGATGGCGAATATCCAATCAGTTGAGATTGACACTGCGGCAACCAGGAAGGACAGGGCGGTCTGAATTTCTCGAGGTCTGCACTCGCCTGGCATGCTTTGGTGCCAGTTTTTCCTAGTGAGTCTCGTCAGCGCATGTAGAACTACACTCGAACAAATTGGAATTGGAAACCTACTCAACCGGCGAGCATTGAAAGAACAAATACATGCCAGTACCTCCTGTGCAGACTGTGACTAGTGCGAGGCAGGTATAGATGACGATTTGGACCCAACGTTGGCCATTACCGATGCGAAGCAGAGTGAAACCAAGGGACCACTTGAGAGTAACCAAGGTAAAACACCAGAACTCCTGGAACACATAAAACCACTAGAGATCCGTTAGTTAACTACATACATCGGATGATATCACTCTTCGGGTGGAGCATGACTTACGAAGTATGAGTTGGCAACTTGTTCTGCAGAAAGGGTGCTATCCAGTTGCCCAACTCCGCTCCAGGCCATACCTATTAAACCGATCTGCGATACTGCCCAAACCGGCTTCGATATGTTAGTCAAAAACAGTTCGATACTATTCCGTATTGCGCGCATCGTTAGAACGTACGATAGTAGCAACCATGGCCCAGTCATCCGGTCCCCATGCTTTCCTCTGCGCCCGAATCCAAAATCGCAAGATCATTGTAATGATGTCAAACGGCAGCGGCACCAGGACCGCAGCGGCCATATCCTTCGACGTAGCCGCGCCCATCTTGTCGGATTTGCGGGTTCGTGATCACTGAAGAACCGGCTTCGTGCTCCACGGGTTCGTTTCGAGGAAAGAAGAAGAGTGCCACAAATCGAACAGCGAAAAGAACAGTAAAGACCCGAACGACCCAGAAAACTTATAAGGGAATGTAAAGAACATAGAAAAAGCAAGCACGGATCTGACAATTACTTAATAGCGGCCCAACTTCTTTTGGCAACCAAAGTTCGCATGGGATCCACCGACCCCAGCCCCGGGATCTCTGCCGTTGCGGCACTGTGGTCCTCCTTGCCACAAAGGGGGGCGCTGGGATGAACATGGTAAGAGAATTCAACCCCCTTGCGAAGCTCAGACTGTCCAATTTCGAAATGATCCCGTCGGCAATATGCTCGTGTTTCCTGTCCACTAATCAGGAACGATGATGTGCTTGTCAGTTGCCTTGCCCTGACATGAGATGCAGGAACACAGCGGAGGCGGAGTTGGTTCCGAGCTGGGCATTGGACTCTACTTCTGATTTCAACTGTGTAATGGACTTATCAGATTTCTTCCTCATCGAGAATGATGGAGAGGTTATGTTCGGTCTCTTTGGCGCCTTCTCTCCTGAACTTTTCTCAGTACCCCAAATTCTAAACGTGCCTTCCTAGCTTCCTAGCTTTAATGATTTCCGTAGACAACATGTGATCACTGCTATCGTTCGAAGGTATCGACGCTAGCTCGAATTCAAAAAACGTGGATAGTATTGGCCGGCATTCTGCCCAGCGTTACAGTCGATGCTTCGCGAGATCGGTGGTTTCCAACGACAACAAATATACACCATCCATGCATCGTCGCACTCATGCCACTGTCCCGAAACGTATGGCCCCCATCTTAAAGTAGATCGATGCCAAATTCGGCAGATCCCTTCCGAGCATCGGGGAAATCCTCAAGAGTTTCCGGCGGTGTCAAACTGCGAAGAATCTTGGCCCGACCCATAATAGTGGATTATTTTCTTCAACACGGTATGCATACTCGTGGGGAAAGGAATTTCAGCCGTGTCCATAGTTCCCATAAATGCCCCTCTCCAGTGCGCATATAATGACCAGCATCAATGCAAGACCTAGTCGGCTATGTGAAGAAATGCAAGATTGACAAGCGACTATGAAAGCGATGAGCGCTCCGTTGGTTGTGTTGGAAGTTGGAACAGAAGACTATCTTCGGTTAACGAAAGATCAAGTAATATCAATGTCAAAACCAAAATATCTTGGGGATTGAGGGAATTTTGAACTGGCCCTGGCCTTTTCCCTTAGGTGTTGATACTTGCGAGTTTCACGACTGGTTTATGCATATTGAGATCGGCAGAAGTCTTTGGTAGTTGACGTGTCTGCGTGGAGAGCCAAGATTCATGATCCTGCTCAGTCCCTAGTCGAGACTCCTCTTCGGATCCCACCCACCATGCGGCCCGGCGGCACTGACCAGCTGGCTAGTTCACGAAGTGGACATGCAAGCGTTGGAGAGAAGCAGGAGCAACAGGACACAATATATAAAGCACACAATTTATCACGTGGAGAGAGGCATAACATTCTCCCCGCCTCCACGTCACATTGTTTATTCTGCTCTTCTTACATCTGAGAAAAATGGCTCCTTTCAGGGTTTTCGAGGGCAAGCTTGCCATTGTCACTGGTGCTTCGCGAAGTATGTGGTTTTTTAAACTTTCCGGGTCTCTTCAGATGGGGTCCTTTTCCATAGCAAGGATTCAATATTTGGCTTGAGATCACAGTACACTGACCAGTTTCTCAAGGCTTTGGCGCCGTTCTTGCTGAGCACTTTGCCAGCAGAGGTGCCAACGTTGTCATCAACTACGCCACCGAAGGCTCAACGTCAAAGGCTGAGGCTTTGGCCAATGACTTTGAATCCAAGTACAACGTCAAGGCTCTCCCCGTCCGGGCTGACTTGAGCAAGCCCGAGGCACCTCAGCAGCTTGTTGATGCCGCTAAGGCTCACTTCACCGATGCCAACGGCCGTTTCCAGATTGATATTATTGTCAACAATGCTGCCACTGTGAACGCTCAGGGCATTGACCAGCTGGACCTCGATCTTTTCGATGAGACATTCAACCTGAACTGCAAAGCGCCCGCCCTCCTCGTCAAGGCTGCTTTCCCCTACTTGCCTACCGACCGCTCTGGTCGCATTGTCAATATCTCCAGCGCAACCACTACGTGGGGTGTCTGGTGGCAAACATCATATGCTGGCACCAAGGGTGCTATCGAGGCCATGACCCGTGTCTGGGCACGTGAGCTGGCCGAGAGAGCCACCGTCAACGCTGTTGCCCCTGGACCCATGGACACTGGACTTTACTCTGGCCTACCTGACGAGCCCCGCGAGGCTCTTCGCCCGTTGAACAACCTGACGCCCCTTGCCAAGGCTAGACCTGGTGTCGATAGCCAGGAGGTTCTCGACTTGGCGGCAAGCATTGGAGGTCGCCCTGGTTACTTGGAGGAAGTTGCTGGAGTTGTGGGGGTCGTTTGCTTGCCTGAGAGTGGATGGATGACTGGTAACCTTGTGGGGGCCAGCGGAGGAGGTGCTTTTGTTCGTTAAGCGATGCCAATTACCTTGCATGTCGGATAAGCATTACTGGTGTTTGGAGCGAGGATGTTCTCTTTTTTAGCTCAGGCAGGTGAATGGATGAAGATCAACAATTACATGGGCGCAGATGGAGCGGCAGATCCCTCACATAAAAGTGCACCAACGGACGAGGGAACAACGTTGGCAATGCGACAGTGCGTGAAGTTGCAATGGAGACAAGTGTCGGAGAACCTGTCGTTTTTGGATCAGGTGCACGCTATGCTTGTCCACTCAAGGGCATGGTTTGTTGGATCGCCGACTTAGACGGATGGATTTCGTCCTTTCGTTTCGTTCCCTTATACATCGCTTAGATGGCAGCACAGGCACGGCAGGGTAGCCGAAACTCATTTCAGGCACCTGCTAAGATCTCAGGGGGGGCACTAGTGACTACCAACGATGCTACGGTCTCGGCGCCACCCGTCATGTTTAAGTTGACAGGGGATAATCAGTTGAGTCCGTGAACCCTACAGGAGCCCCATTGGAGGATTTGGCCCCTGTCTAATAATTATATCGCGTGTCCGGATGAAGCAGCAGAAGTATCTCCTCAAGGCTTTTCAATCAATAAGGGGGCGGAACTCTTACTTCGGTAAAAAGAAGACATAGCTGTCGCAACTTGGTCGCTGCAAGGCAGTCAGTCGTGCTTCAGCAAAAACCCTGCTTCTCACGACGACATCATGAGCCCTGGTTGCGTGTATGTACATGTGCCCCTGACTTTTAGATCCATCCCAAGGTGTGTCCAGGCAGCCGTGGCAGCACTTGTTCTGCCCAAAAGGCCTGCGACGGACGAAAGGATGTTTGACATTACACGCCTAGCCCCAAAGGTTTACTCGTATCCTAGCCTATAATGATACATAGATCAGACAGTGGACCATAGGAAGCCCTGTTTGGAAACATATTGCCTTTGATGTTGAACTTCTAGAAAGAAAGGAGCCACCAAATTATAAAGACTCGCTATTTGCTTTCGGTTTCCTTTGACTCCATTCCCTTCGCGGGAGTCAAGACCTTAAAATGGACCATCACGTCTTGGTCTCCCGTGCTCGAGAGTACGTAACTTGCCCATAGGTAATAACATCAACCATATGTAACCAACTCACGCCATATATTTGTCAATCCACCATATTGAGAAAACTATGACCTTTTCAAACATTTCAGTTTGGCTTTCACGCCCAGCGTTGCGAGTTCGTGTTCGTGCAAAGTGCAATCAGATTAAGCTAGAGCTTAGGAGTAGTACAGGCAGCGCATAAAATATGTGAAGCAGCTGCTAGCTGAGCGATATTATGGGTTGCGTTGCCATCCCTCGCCCACACTCATAAATCCCCATTAAACTACACTCAGAGAGTCATACTCCCAGGTGCAAGAAATATTCTAATCTTTTATGAGCCATGCTTATATATCAAGCCATCATCAAGATCATGAGATTAATCTAACATGAATCTGAGAGGTCAAGAGGAGGGCTTTTTGTTAGTCTCCCAACCAAGAGGTTCTTCATCAATACTTATCTCACTATCGTGGTAGTTCACATTCGCCAATACTTTTGAGTGCTATTGAGCCCATTTCTTGACTCGAGTTCAACTCTGTTCACAAGGCGCGGGCAGAGGACAAATATCATACATGCTACGACTGCAAAGGACTTCTCGTTCCTACCGGAGCCGAAGACACAGAG